GGCGGTGATGTTCCAGAGGGAGGTAGCAGCGGGTAGTTTACGTTCCACTGGTGCGCTACGAACGTCAAACGAGAAGTAATTATTTCGGTTGGCCGAAATTCCCCCTAAAGAGTTTCAGCGAGATAGTTGATTGTTTCTGTAAATTTGTTGCTGGATATGAGTAATTAGCCTTAGAGAACAATGTAAGTCCATGGCCACTTTGCCTGCCTCAGTTTAGGCTGACCGGTGCTGATCCAGAACAATACACGGTAGGTGTCAGCAAGTTGCAGCTCATCTCTAGTAAAGTAATCCGATTTTGTTTCGAAGTGAGTGATATTATTAAGGAAGTATATGCCAGAAGAAAAGTTGTGCTGGTCATGTGTGAAGACTGAGAAATGGCAGATGGATAAAACGGATTATTGAATGGTAATCATGCAGTACTTAAAAAAGGCTGCCAATGCAGTAGTAGGATTCGCCCGTGTGAAATTATTTGGAGGAGAGAGGCCCAAAACAAAGAAATTTCAAGCTACACCGATGGTGGGAAGGGATGAAACAGTGAAACAACAGCTGATCCAGAGATACTGATCAAACGATTGCGCAGGGGAACCATTACGTGAACCGATATTCTTCTGGAAAATTGACGAAAAAATGAGTAAAAAGAAAGCACATTTTGCTTTCAATGCTTCTAATTTGTGTGCTGAGAATCCAAAAACCATGTACAACATGCGGTTGAGTAGGGGAGATAGGTCCTGTTTCCATGGATACCTCTTCTGCACTCTTTTATTAACAGCTCGTTCAGTGCCCTCTAGGTAAAAATTTTGCCAATTACTGATGCAGTATTTTTGAGCCTCTCATTCGATGTGTTGTCGCGTGAAAGAATCCTCCAAACAGTGCAAAATATCAACAGTTCTTGACTGATAAAAAATCTATGCGGTAACAATTTTTTGTCGTTTCATCTCCTCTCCGTCGGTGGACTCGCCACGCATAATACTTTTCTTTAATGAGCCATTATAACATGTACTCTGCAACAGGCAATGATTGCTTTCGATATCCCAGCACGCGTCTTCTCGGCCCCCCGTTGGACAAATGGTTCGGTTTTCGTTTTTCCCCTTATGCATCGTTTTGGACTCAACAAAATGTCTACAAATCCTTGTGACCTGTTTTTTTACTTGCACAATCCTTAGAGTCATCCGTAATCTTACTTACAGGACATGATTACCTTAACTGATACTTGAAACTGTTACTGCTTCAATGCTTCACTGAATACTTTTCAATCTTTTTTTAATCTCTTTCTATTTTCAAATAAACAAACAAAAGAAAACCGTGAAAATCGAGCACAGTTACAAGGAAGATAATGCTTTTCAAAGAGAGTCTTTATAACGATGCAAATTTTTGCCGAAATATCCTAAATATCAGTTTTTACTAGCAGTGCATCCCCTCCAGCTTTTTTAAGACAGCTTCTAAACGTCAGTAGTTATGGAGTCAAGGCTGGACACAATCAATGATGCACAGTCAGGATTATCCGAGTTAGGGGATGGGGAGGGAGGAAAGAGACAATTCTAAAAATTTGGTGGTTCTTTAACTTGAGTACTGGAATATGCTTTTGCAGTATTAATTAGGACGTCAGTCAGGAAAAATCCTAATAAATAAAGGTGGTCATAAGACCTTTAGAAGAGAAGTTCCTGACACAGCTGTTACCATAGGTCCTAAAAACTATTGTTTTCCACGCCTATGATTCGGAAAATCACAACAAAATAGGCCGAAAATCATACTAATCTCACTGGCAACTGAGACCCTCTGGGCAGCCGATGTGGAGATCTGATGTTAGTGGCGTTACTGGATGCTCCTAGACGTTGGCCACAGCTGTGGCAGGGCCACGTTACATGTGCTTCTAACAGTTTACAAATATTAGCGACAATCACAAATATAACTAATAAAAACGTAGTGAAAGGCACAAACTGACAAGTTTGCACATTTCGTCGACTTTGATCGTACATTTTCTTCATCTGCGCCATTTCTAACATTCGAATTACCGGATCTCACCTTCTCTTTCCCAAGAAATAACCTAGGCATGTATCAAAGCTGAATTTGAAATCTTCAGGTCGCGCATGAACAGAGAATATCCTTGTGAAATTTCGGTTTCCAACCTTGCCTGGTTCCCAAATTCGTGCCGGAAACATTCTCGTAAAATTTCAGCTTTTTAGTTTCTTTGATTGCTGAATTGAATGGGTGACAAAATTCGAAAACACACGCAATGTGCCATTTGCATTGAATCAGTGGCATAAAAACACATTCTAATATACAAAACTACAATTTTCCAGAACAGCTCAATTCATTCAGGAACGGAATGAGTCTTTTAGCAATTTCTTTCATTGCAAAGTGGTCTAAAATATACTCGAATGAATGGCTCCTCATACACTTCGGTCATATTCTGCTCTGTAGATGACGCGTTTGTATCCGGTTCTGTCGCCAACTCCAGTTTGTCAGCATTTTCCAATTCGCGGTCTTCGTTTTTCAACTCTGCTAGCCAGTGGTCATCATCCGCTACTGCGCCAACTTCAGGTTCGAGTTGCACTGGTGCCTGTACATTTGTTCGTTCGAGCATTGGATAAATTATTATAAAGTGTTGAAAATGCTATCTCCAGAACTGAAGGACCTGGTTTAGGTGTGCTCAACGTATGAAAGCATTTGAGCTACACTACACTAATAGGGAATAGCCAGCGAAGCTACTTTGGTGAACGGGCAGATGCTTCTTCGACCTTCAGCATTTGACAGTAGATATCCGTGAAAACAACTGGAGCAGTGGAAAAAAATCGAAAGAAAAAGAAATGAAGAATTAACACAGGATTAAATTTGCCTGGGTTTTCCCAGAATTGTAGCACGTAAAAATTTAGGCTCCTGGGAGGAAAAGCATCGCTTGCCCTGACCAAAAATTTTGCATCTCACTTTTCAAACGCAGCATTTTTATGATAGGTTTACAGTTGAAATTGGCAGAAGTGAGTGTTCAAACACAGGGAATGTTGTACGTAAATGCATGCAAGAGCGTCGACACTTGATTGGAGAACGCGTGGAATGAAGGAAGGGGGCAGAAACGGGAGGAAAAACAAGTTAAAGTATCGGGCTAAGATGCTTCGGTCCATTAAGCTTTGAAAATCTTAGTTCAATGAGAGGCTCATTTATAGCCTAGCATGTGATTGGAATCATCACACTCTGGAGTAAGAAATGCTTGAATATTCTTTTAAAATGTTAGTATGCTGCCTTTCTTGGCCTCGGAGCCGAATTTTTTGGACAAACACGCATATTCTTGCCAAAAAGAAGCGCTTTCAATTTACTCAAAAATGCACAGAAATCAACCTGTGAGATGAGCTGCTCGGGAATTTCGTTGTCGTTTTTGCCATTATCGTCATTATCTGTATATAAATCGGAAGCCTGTTCATCCGGATGGATGATGGGTAGTGCAGAGAATTCGATCCCGCCTTCCAGTGCTTTATCAGGTGTTAACAAAAAAGTGGCTCCGTCGTCCTTCTCCTGGTCCACAGGAAGATTTTTTCGAAGCGGCCTGAGCTCGAGTTCAGGCGATCGATGTAGCATTTGCATCGGGACTGCTATCTCTTTGAGTTTTTTCACCACATTTTCTTGATGATCTGTGTATATTATGCAACCATTATTCGGAACTTGGTGGAATGAAAATGATTCAAGAATTTGTACGAAATGGTTGAGGGAAAGGGGAGGGAAAGAGGAGAGAAGAGGCAAGTTGTGTGGCTCGGAATAATCAGTATGTTAAAGATAGCAGAGATTTCTGACACCTCGAAATGCACCGATGTGAAACTATAAAATATGAAAACTAGCACCTCGCATTTTATGCTTTGTTTGTGTCTTTAAGTGCAGCAAGTTTGGAGGAACGGTTGCAAGTCTACAGAGCGAAAAATGAAAACAAAACCCCGGACGAACTGCGAAAGATTTCTTAGGAGGAAGTTTTATTGAGATGATTTTGAAGACCGTTTTTTTGAGGAAAATTTAGACGGGTGCCATAAATTTTGATATTTTATTGAGTACGAAATGAACGTCAAGGTCAACAACAGCAGGCTGATAATCAGACGAAGTAACACTGGTCAAGGCAATTGGGAAGTTACCAGCCGCACATGATTATATAATTCTTTATTTCAAAAAGACTGAAATAAAGAATACAACGAAAGCAATGACAGTAGAGTGATCTAATTGGAATTGCAGCCGATCATGGGTAGAGTAAAAATCTCCACCTGAGGGTGTCGAAAAATGGGTCAAGGATTAAATTTTAAGAGATGGATGGAACATGTCTGAGCTGAATGGACGTATAAATGTGCTTAGTAACAAATTATATACTAGACAAAACTATAAAAAAATGAACGCTCAGGTGGGAGCTCGCATGCTCACTGTTATCTAATATTGACTTATACAAAAACGTTTAAAAAACGCTAACCTTTAGGCTCATATACGCTGATAAATCGGCCGAGCGCTACCGATGCATAAGCTGTGAGGAAGAGCTGCTGTGTTATCAGCATTGTGGAGCAACAAAACACAGTTCTTTTACCACTGTAATTTGTTCTGTATAATTTATCGGATCCATAAAAAATCCGAGGGCGAGCGCAGTGAGTGCAACTACCCCTAACCCTGTCTGGACTTCTTCAGTCAAACACTCATGGAGACCGACAAATCGGCCAAATGCGACCAGTACACAGGCTGTCAGTAAGAGCTATTGCATTATCAGCACAGTTTAGCAAAAAAACTTCGTTCCGATTTCTTCCACAGTTTGGTACATATGAATCAGCTCCTCACAAAAAAGACCGAAGAAAAGGAATAAAAAACAGCAGCTGCACCGCGGCACTATTTGGGTTTCTGCAATCAATCGCTGTTATGCGAAGACAATCACCAAAAAAAAAATGATAACTACCAGAAAAAAAATTCCAAAAAGTTAACTTGTTTCGAAGTTCAGAGCATAGTTCTGGGCAAGGAAGATTATAATTCCTGGGAAAAAAATTTTTGCAAAAAGGATGTATGGAATTTTGTGGATGAGAAAGAAGCAAAACAGAGAAGAATGGAGAAGTTGCTAGATACATCAGTGACGAGACGATGAAGCATGAGCTGATCAAAGCATAAATGTTTTGTAAAAAAACTCCAGCCTATATGGTTTCGGGAAAAATCATTGACTCTAAACGGAAGTGTTGTGAACACAGTTATATAAGTACGAAGAAAGACAGGTGGCGTTGTTGCTGTTCCAGTGTATTGCTACCGTTGATGACTCATTTGCGAAATGAAAAATGATGAAACAAAACGAAGTGCAATACCACCATATGTCATTATTATCCACGAATGACGTAAGCCTAAGGCAAAGGAGGGCAAAGGGGATTGGTGCAAAGGCCGGATTGATGAGAGTGATTGAAGGCCGGGAACGGAAACTGTGAAGGTTAATGGACGAACGTACTCATGTGGATGCTTGTCGAAATTTCAGGATCTATTTTACAGTTTGCGTCCAAATCCTGTGTCGATCTTTGTTTCGTAAATTTCTTCAACTAATTTTTTAAACTCTTCCAATCATAAATATATTCTTTTCCTCGCCCCTCTTCATTCAATTCAGCTCACTCCCCTCCCCTCCCCCATCCCCTCGCATTCCTCTCCCCCTTCTTCTCCCTCCCTTCTCCCCTTCGTTGTACCTGTTCTTTCTTTCCTCATCTTTATTCCACCTCCCACCACTCAACCGACCTCCCTCTTCTAAACAGGCATGCATTCAAATTCTCACTGTCATGCAAAAATTTAATATTATCTTAGCATTCCCCACAAAAAAATGCAAAAAGTTTTTTCCAGGGTTTATAGAAAAAAAAACAAAACTAAAAAACGTAAACACAGAGAACGAGCTGACAGTCTGCGTATTCCAAGCTAGTGTTATTAATGGGATACTCTCACACACCGAGCTCAGCTAAAAAACATAAATGTTTGGAAAAAATTAATAACGATGGCCTCTCAAAAAAGTTTTTGAGTTACGAACTTTGTGTGAACCTGGGAATGAGGTTATAGGATAGATTACAGCTTAGAAGCTGATTCCGGACTATTTTCTTCAATATCGCCTAGCGAATTAATTTGTCAAAAATTGCCTGTGACCTCAGATAGTTAATTTTTCTCATCAGGAAACGAAAGAGAATGTCAGGATTTCCGAAAGGCTGACCACTAAGCGGTGCAGCATTGATCAAAACACAGCCGTGAAATGAATTACGGCAAAAAAAGATCAACAAATTTATTAAAAGTGAATGAAAATGAACAATAATAAATGAACCAGTATAACACACTTCACAATAGCCAGAGTCAGGGTTCCGCATTCCTTATCGTCGAGTAATGGTTCGTGTTGTCTGCGTCAAAATCATCGGCCATCATTTTCGGCTCATCAGACCTTTCTTGCGTCTTATCCGTCTTTTCTGGAAACAGCTGACGAACTTTCTGCAAAATAAACGCTGATGAGAAATGCCATTACTGCTAGCAGTCAAAAAGGCCTGGCATAGTGTGCTTAGCATTTCTGCTAAATTTCAAAATTTAAGAAAAACGCTGCTGCATTATTTATAGATTTAATGAAAATTTGTCAGTATATGAATAAAAGCATTTAAGAACATCATCCGAAAGGCTGGAACAGCAGAGGAATTTAGTATCGATCGTGAAATGCACCAAAAAATCCGGGTTTGTGCAGAAACGCCATTGGAGAACCCGGTGATAATTTACTTTGATCAGCTGCAATTCATAGCCGATTTTCAACTACGTGGCAAGCAAATTTTCCGATTTTTATGACCAATGCTGCATCACATGAGGGTCACTTTGCTGGCGATCCTGACGTTTGTTTAGTAACACCCATAGGGCGATTCTCTGGAAAGAGTATATCGAATATCGATATTCTTAAAAGATGATAAAGTACTTTACCGACTGCGAAATCTCAATGATATCAAAAAAAATTTTTTTTGCTACCAATCAGCGGGTCCCTTCATGGCCATATAAACAACTGGACTGTCCAACAAATGACCGGCCTGCAGAACATCATTACGACCAAGCGAGAGTAAAAATCGACAGACAATGCGACACGCGTTAGTTGATAGCACTCACGAAACTATGCCAGCCTCTGAATAGATGACGCAGATGTACCGGATGGGTGGCGGGTACTAATTGGGAGTACAAACAGCCTAGAGCAGAAGAGCCTGGCTTAACTGCGCTTAATGTGTGGGAGCATTCTGGTAACATCACCAACATGAAACACCCATAATGATTGCCCGAGTGGCCTTGGTATTTTTGGTAATTGCAGATTTTCAGTGGCATTTACGCTCGTTTGTTTCCTCAAAAAAAGTAACTGAGAGTAGTAGGTGTCATAATTTTGCGAGAGTTTTTCCATCTCTAAAAAATCCTAGCTACGTAACTGCTCTGAGAGCTGACCTCGTAATACGCAGCTAAATCGGCTTTGAGTCGCTCAACTTCCTCATCGGACTGCCGATTGATTCGTTCATTATGCTCATCCCGATTTGGCTGTTTCAAACGTTCTAATTTTTGCACTTGCCCAGCCTAGAAGAAAAACACTTATATTTTCCCGAATTCGAAATAACCTAAAAGCGATGCTGTTGCGCACCATAGTACATGGTAGGCAAGGCATGGTACCTTTCTAGCTTCAGTTCTACCTCTTCAACGGTGGGTTAATTAACCTAAGCATTAGTTAACCTCTCCTTATCTATCGGATATCGCGTGGCTCCTCCGATGCAACAGCTGCTAATTTTCGCTTTATCCCTTTCTATCATCTCCTCCTTTCCTGTTCTTCTTTTCTGTTCTAATTCCAGTTCAGCTATAATTTCATATATTTCGGATGCTTGAAACAGCAGTATTTTTACAGACTGTTTTTCTAAACTTGCGTTTTGTAATTTCCCAGTTGCTTGGCTGATGCTGCGCCGCTTGGTGATCAACCTGATGCCAATCTTGGAATTCGACCCGGTCATTAGGGTAACCAGCTGTCTACGATTCGTTCGTTCGTTTTAATAGTAACGCTTTTCAGTGAATCAAGTTGTTTCTAAGCAACACTCAAAAGAGGAGCCGCAGACACTTGGCCAACGAGTGGTTGCTGTTTTAACTTTTGGATGTCTTTGAATTTCATAGAGAGTGATTTGTGCACAGCACTTTTACTCTTTATTTCCTTGTAAGCTAGTATTGCTTGTGGTCTCATTCACTTGAATTTCAAATCATCAGCTACTGCGTGGGAAAGCGAAATTGCTGTATAAAGACAAGTTTTAATCGTTTCTCGAGTTTTAATGGGCCTTTCCGAATTTTAATCGGATAACCTATTGGCTGATCAGATGAGTAAAATAAGTGAGAGGAAGACGGGGGAGGAGGTGGGAGGGGGAGGGAGAGGGAGGTTACATATGCAAAAAGCAGCACAATGTTATGGCAGTCATTGTGATAACAGTTACAGCTGATAACTTTGCTGATAACAGTGATAGGCTCTGCTTAGTGCTGATAATCCAGGCGATCCTAGTGTTGCTATGCCGTGGGACAACGAGAATTTGTACAAAATGAAAAGCACTGAACATCTTCGGGCAGCACTGTCTGACTGGATGGCGTGGCTGACGGGGTTTTCAGTTCTTCCGTCTTTCTGGATGGCGGGGTTTTCCGCCGATGCCTCTGGTGTTGTTGCGGACGGTGTTCTTCCTGTTGTCGCTTTCGCCTTTTACTCCGATAATGATGCTGCTTCTTGCATTCGTAAAAGCAACACAATGAAACGACGAGCAATGTGACAATAGCTAGTGCTGTTAAAGTTGATATGAACAACCACATCAAGCTTGTTCCAGAATTACTTTTCGTCGATTCACCTGGAATGCATAGGTAAATTCGAAGAAAAAAGCTCTTTCAAAATATGAGAAATATTAATATTTCTTAAATTCTGTGCTTTTATTGTAATACACCTGAGAAATAAACTAATACCATGAATATTGGAGGCACCTGGAAAAGTGTGTTAGTGCTTCCTGTTTGTGATAATATCAATATTAATGATTGGACGCATATATAAAATAAAAAACACGTATGTGTTAAAAAATAATCAGATGAACAGGAATGTTTCAGTCCGTTAATTAGGATGCTCTCGCACGCCAAATGCAGTAATTATTGCCACCCCCCTCCCCTCAATTTTACCCAGTACAAAGCGAAACTGCATATTTTACATATGATCGCTAATTTATTTGCATGTAAACTGATTTGTACTGAGCATCACCATTTGCTCTCGAATGTTACCACTTCTAGGCTACAGCAA